ATCGTTCAATATCTTTACTAGACTAAGAGTTAATAAAGCAAAAAGAAAGGATTTATAAACTTTATATAAATACATAAGGAAGTAAGTTTACGATCAGCGGTCAAATTAAAAGAAGTTAGAGAAACTAAGAAAACAGGCTAGGATAAATAGGACTTTACATGTAGAAATATTCTTTCGCTCTCATCAATTTTCGAAACAAAAGCGTTATCTTTAATAAATAAATAGCAACCAATATATATATATATATATGTACGTATAAAATAAATACATATCAATTTTCGGTCATTTTATATATATATTTCTCTTCAATGTCTTTATAATATTAAATTGTACATTAATTTAATAATGCGAGATTTCTAGTTTTTTGACATAAGATTATTACATTTCAAAATTAAATGATAATTGACATATAATAGGTAAATGTATATACATCATTAATTATTATTAACATGAATCTTCATTGAACTTTTTATTCATATGAGGTGTTCGGGACTCCCGCCTTATAAATTCGCTAAATGTGAGTGCTATTTATATTACACATTATAAATTTAATTTTATTTCAAATTGTTTCACAATTAAATTGCATTTAGCTTTATCTAAAAGATGTATAGAATATATAAACCTTTATTTAACTGTAAATCATCAATGAGAATAATTACATTAAATAAACCGAATGAATAAGAATAAGGGTAATAATCGAAAATATTAACAAATAAATTTAGATAATACATATAGGGGTGTTTGGAAATTAAATGTTAAAACTTCGTAGAATGTAGGGGATCGATAAAGACTAAGAAAAAGTCTGTAGAGATATCGTTCTTTTTAGAAAAAATCTCAAAAAAGACAAAATGTACAGTTTTCATTTTTATACTTCTCATTACTTCACATTGTATTTACTTTACTTGCTTAATGTAGATATATTGTTGATCTTTTGCAGCATTGCATCTAGTACAAACAGCTCGTGTTGCAATCAAACACTGATTTGATGATACTTGCACTGCAGCCTTTATTCGATTTTTCAATTGTTCTTGAATTGATTAACGAATCTTGAGTTTTTTTTATCGATTCTCTTGAGTTGATTTATTATTTTCGTGCACGATTTATTTCAGCAGCAACGATAATATTTCAGAGGCTGTGCAAGAACAAAGCAACTATTTTTATCTTTTTTGCGATTTTCTCCAAAATGAAATAAAAATGAGCATATCTCTACATGACTTAGTTTATCGATTTTCTACACGTTCCTGAAGTGCTCCTTTTGACATTTAAATTTTAAACACCCTGTATATAACTTGTAAAGGAGAAACTCCATTCTCATAACAGAATTATCATTCAATTTCATTTGAAGATATACGGAGATTCTACTCAAAATTATCGAATAGCATCCTAAAGCGTATCACGAATTATAAACAGTATTCGGTATAAGTTCTGGGCATCTTATGAGAGGAATCAAGATAACGTTCGAAACTAAATTTCGAGTTGACTTAGGAAAAGCGAATAAAGAATTCGAAATATCGAATGCCAATCTATATTGCCTAAATGATATGTTATTGCAGGCACGTTCATTCACTTAATTAGTGAACGTTTACATAAATTACAGACTGGTGGACTATCATGCAGATAATGAAGATGTAATTTGATTTGTACATCAAATTATCGCGATAATTCTACTTTGTATAATTTCCTCGATTTTCAGCGTCACTTGCATATCCGAAAACAACTCGAGAAATATCACGATTCATTATAATGCTTTGCGAAATCAAATTTCAATGTCATTGTATCGAAATAAAGATTGTGCGTTATGCGAATGGAATCGAATTTGCTAATTCATTGTCGTGAGGTCTGATTTGATAAGACTTCTTCTACTGAAATATCTCAAAACAGTTGCACACATTTTGTGGAGCTAATCGGAATAACTGTGATGAAAGAAAATCGACAATACTGATTTTTTCTTAAATATTCTTATTAATTAAATAGTTGAAAATTATTATTAAGTGTATTTATCATTGGAATATGTTTCAGTTTTTATATAATTATTATGTTTCAATTTTAATATAATTATAAAGTTTGTTGAAAATTTAAATGTATCTTGAGGTCGCAATTAATTTATTAATTAGTATTTTATACATTGATATTCTCATCAATCGTCACTTGCATATTGATTAAATAATTATGCATTTGCATTATGCATTTCATTAGCAATTCTTAAAATAACAAACTGTAATTGTTATATAAATGGATAAAAAATCTCGTTATTTGGTATTCTACGTAACTGTTTAATATAGCTTAAATTATAATATAAAATATTTCTTCTTTTCGGATCGTATAATTAAATTGTATTGTTAGCGAAAACAAAGATGTATTTCTTAATCTAGACATTTTAATATTTCTGTACTGTAAAAATTTTTATTATTATTTACATTTAAAAAAATGAAATTGGCATTTTGTCTGATTTATTCTTTTTTAATTTGTATATTACAAATTATATTTAAATTGTATATTACAAAATCTCTTTAATGTATGTACAATACAAGAAACAATTATAGTAATATACATTATAGTAATATAAATTATAGTAATATACATAAATTTCAATTATTATTTTTCAGTTTCACAATTTTTTTATTTTCTAAAAAAATATTATCTTGCCTTTCTTTATTTATTCTTTTTGGCAAATTTAAAATCAATATTTTTTAATATAAAAAAAGAAGTATAAAATTTTAAGAAGAACAATCTTTAATAATCTCCAATTAAAGAAAAGAAATCGAGGATAATCAAATGTATTGTACTCATTCTGTAAACCTTATTTGTAGATCCCATTTGTAAGGTCTCTTTTAACGTCAACGTTGTCTACTAATTGTCCAAGTTGGCTAATGAACAGTTACAGCTTGTACTTGTCGAACAGTGAACTTTGATAACAAGATACCTAATGCTCTTTGACTATATTAATTTCTATCTAGACATTAATTAAAAATCCACGTGACAAATCTTGGACACTAGTACAATACTAGAAAGAAAAGTCAGTAATAGAGGGATGGGATTGAAACCACGTGGAATCAAGTCGCCAGTCGACTCGCAGCATGTAATTGAAAAGCAGTACGGCAGCTCTAAATTACGAGCGGTAAATTAAGTCCCTTGGTGTTAATAGACCTGGTGTTAATAGACGATGACGACAACAACGACAAGTCTACGTCTCACAGAAACATTTATTATTTTGTACATGCTAACGTCAATTTATTTAATAAAAACAGTTAATAATAAATGAATTTCAAATATATGTAATTGTTAAGAATAGACATTTTGAAAAACTACTGTTATTTCAAAAACTTAAAAAAAGAAAAAATTACATAGAAACATAAACTAAAAGAATATTTCTTTTATATAATATTTTTAATTTACATAATAAATATGTAGTTTATCTAAATATAAATATTTAAAAAATATATAAATACTTTTAATAAAATGTCTTGCCCTAAGAAAGTATCAAAATCTTACGTCGCAGCCAAGAAAATAAATTTCTTTACTTTTGTTTTTTTTCTATTTTTTTAATATTAAATAAATGTTGTTTATTGGCACAAAAAGTAGAGATTTAAAAAATTTAAACTACAGTCACATCAATACGACTTGACAATATTTATACTTCATAAGAAAAGTCTACGTATTAGAATTATTTAATTTAACAAGGTGATAGTTTCCTTGGGGGTTGAAGTGTAATAAATTCTATTCTAGTTTTCTTGGGGATGCGTGCTTTAATGCCAAATTGAGGGATAGAGAGAGACTTATTGTTAAACTAAATGACCGGATGTTGGCAAAGCAAGCAATTCATGCACAAAGTAGTTTTTCTCATCTGCTATCGCTACTGCTGGAATTTATAACTTCTTGTGAATCATCACGTGAAAGATGGCAGAAAACAAAAGCCGATAAAAGAAATTGAGTAAACTCTTGAATTGAGTAAACTCCAGAGAATAAAAAAAAATTAGAATAAAAAAAAAAGTTTCGCAAAAGACAAATTTGCATACACAATTTTCTTTTTTTCCTGATTTTATTACATGGCTTATAAATCGCTCTTATCATCTTCAATTAACAAATAAAGTTAATCAGCTGAATAAATTTTAAAATTATCAACCACAAAACTGAAAACTAATCATCTTTATCTTAATTATTTTGTAATTAAACATATTATTGTACTTAATTATTAATTAAACGTATTAATATTTTACATAAATAAATTTTAATGTGCAAAAAATAATCAAGAAAAATAAAATAATATGATATAAAGTTTTAAGTTTTGCAGCTGGCAATTCTTATATTTAGGTTCCACCAATGTAAAATTAACTTTAATCTCGGTTCAATTTTCTCTTTATCTTTTTTTAGTTTTAAAAATTAGAAAAAGGTAAATAACAGATAAAATTAACCGGAGATGATGAAACTTTATATTTAAATTTAAAATCATTTTGTCCATCTGCACCAAACTTTTTCTTTAAAGTCTTATCTCGACGTAAACGCGACGCAAAAACTCGAGATAAAAGTCTATCACGACGCGAAAAAATGTGCAGCCTAAATATAAGTCATTATGCAATTTGATTCGAGAAACGAATGTTCTGAATTTGTTATGAAAATAAGGAAAGTAGTAATATTTAAGCATTTTTTTCGACAAAAATCCGATTTTACTGTTGGTAATAAACACTACCGATTTGTTATCACTTGCAAGCGTTTCGATGATGTGTTTCAGATGAACGTTAATAATTTACATTCTTCCTGCACGATGATACTGCTTGGTATTTTGATATCGATGACGATAATCGGACTCACAAGTTCTGCTCCTCTATCGTCGTACGAAAGAAGAGACGTGTCAGACGAGCATCCCAAATTTTTCCTGTTGATCGATCAAAGAATACCAGAATTGGAGGTACGTTCTCTCTCGAATAAAATAATATGGTAAATATGTATAGAATATACAGAAATATTGTGAAATCAAAACATAAAATATCTAAAAATAATTTTAATCTTACAATGAGGTGATATCTCTTCCATTTTTCTCTCTTATTTTATACTACACAGTAAATTGAGATCGAAATATCAAAACAACAGAAACATAAACATCCTAAATTGATAAAATATAAATAGAACGAATAAAAAAATATGCTTTTTTTTTAATTATTTTTTCCTCGTTTAGATACTAAGAATTTTACAAGTAATAAAAGCAATAAGTCTTTCAAATTATTCGTCGTGCTTTCATTCAAAACATGATAAAAACAATTAATGCTTTATGTCCACATCATATTCATTCATTTTTATTTTATAAGTGAAAGAAAAAAAGATATGTCTCGATAAGAGAGCATTATTAATAATCTGTCGATAAGTTCTAAGCACATGAGATGCCGCGCGGAAATCGCGTTCGTCGCTTAACAGAATAACGTATTCCAAATATACGAATACCATTGTGTCAGACAACAAACGTTCGACACGTGTCTCATCGGATCGCTTAGTTTACGAGTGCTTTGCATTTTGAATTGTTAAGCGTGTATTACGATCGACCGGTATCCGCGCAGATGACGCACACTTACGCGCAATGGAATGCAACGAGAAGTAACGGGATGCTGGCGAATGAGAGACAATTGTTGCGATTTGGTATCAGAAGAGGACGGAAAATGACGTGAACGTACGTTACGCGAATGAATCAGGAGCGCGTCATGAATGGAAACATCTCTCCTTGATTTCTCTGCATATAAGAGGTCCCATGTCGTCTTACTTACCCTCCTTTTTATTACTCGTAGCAATACGGTTGTCATTTATACGAAACAGATACATCCCAGTCAGAAATGACATGGAATCGACATCAATCAAAATCCATATCAAATCGACGTCGAATTTGATGAATCGATACCGATTCCATTGTTATTTCTCACTAGGATGCGATCTAAAGCATTCTTTTATTCATAGTTTTCATGCATATTCTTCGCTCCAATAGAAATTCAAAATACCGGATATATTTATTCTAATGTGGAACAATAAAAATACATATAATGTTGAAATATTCTGGAGATGGAACAAAAATTCGTAGCACTATACATTCCAAAATTCAAATAGCTGTAACTTCGTTTAAAATGAACGAAATTTAAATTTAAAAAAAATTTTGAAGCTATAAATTTTTACTTCCGACAGATCACTATGTCTTTTGAGTTTCTGTAAGTGTGATAATTTTTAGATAAAGAAAACTACTCTAAAGAAAGCTACATAAAATGAGAAATTTTCTTCTCACTTTATAAACCTATCACGTGTCTAAAAATTTAGATTTTCTAACGTGAAATGTAAGATTGCTTTAGAATTAGAAAAAGATATATAGTAAGTTAAATCGAGATTAAAGTTAATCTTATGCGGTCTTGCGTAAAATAGCCACGATAGTATCATTACGCGTGGCTTAGCGCCGAGACACTATCAGTGTCTTGATATTTGTGGAACCGAGCTTAAGTATTATTATTGTGCGCGTATGTAAATATATATACTATAAATTTTATACCCAGATAAATCTGAAGAAATCATTGATATAATGGCGCAATTATCCGAGCAATTAATTTCGTAATTATAGATATTTTTTATTAGGAAAATATATCGTAAGATATTTTTTTGTATCTACAAGAATAAATCGGTCTTCTTCAAAATCATCTTCGAGAAAGCTATCTGCGTAAAAAAGTTATGTATACGCGATAATGCAATCTTACGATAACAGAAGAAATTATCTTTTTTCATGGATAAACTGTATGCTACTCAGCTATTTTCGTATACATAACACAATTCGTTTCATTTATCCTTAAGTCTGACATTTTATGAGAAAACAATAATTTTTCGACTTTCGGAATCACTGTTTTTCTTTACATTAATATCGGAAATTTTTAAGAATATTTGTGTGAATAAATATAACTCATACGTAGCATTCTTTGACAAAATGCTTATTTGTCCGCTACTTTGAAACATTACAAAAGCGAATATATAATAGATAAAAAAAAATATATAATAGATAAAAAAATTTGCAGCATTCTAGAATTTTTTATTCGCTCCAAGGCACGCTGCATAAAAGTAGCAACGACGATCTGATGATGGCAGTACTTTTATTATTCATGTACATTCATTACTCGCTCTTCGTCCAGCTCTGTAAATATGCATTTTCTGATTCGGTACATTATGCAGTATAAGGTGAAAGTTCCTTTACGAGCTTTCGCTCGAGGGATCGCACTTTCAACTGCCACTATGCAGCATGTAAAGTTGCAATTACTGCGACGATTGTGTAAGCCGATTTGTGAGTTTGACATGATAAAAAAGAAGAGAAAGATACCAATTTGAAGGAATCGTTGCAGAGACATACAATACAATATACGATCATAAAATCTCCATATGAACTGAAGAAACATAAAGCGCGACGTAAAAAGACGATAAAATAAAAATATTTACATCTCTGAACATCCCGGAAAAACGTCATACAATAAATTGTAACGCAGAAACATAAATTTCGAATTACACTTAATACCTGCATATTCACGAAGATATTACTTTGAATCCGTTCTTTATTAGAATTCAGTAATTCCATCATTACAGAACTTAGTTGTCAAATTAATTATCAAGTGTTTAATGCCAGAGGCATTAACGTTAAATGTCTTAATGCTCTCAAATATAATACGCATTGTGTACATAATGTATACATTTTATCAAAAATTATTTAAATTTAATTTTAATCATATCTATACATGTATTTATATAATTGAATACGTATATAGAATTTTTATGATTTTTTTATCATAATATAAATGTCACTATCTAGTAAATTAATTTTTTCGAAATATTATATTATTTAAAATTCAACAGAAAAAAGTGGCAGGATTGAATCCATAAAATTTGGTCTTGTAATAAATTTGATTAGTTGCTTTAAGCAACATACGATTGATAAAATTAGAACATTACAAGCTTATCAGTGCTATTAGTCAACTACAATGTAATGGAATAGCTGATAGTATTTGTCGTGGATAGTTGTGTGTTCATGCAACAGTAAGATGGAATGTTCGTAAAACTGCAATCTAATCATATTTAAAACAGAATGAAGTTCTGAGATGACTCATATATATATAGTTTTAAAAATCTTCTTTTCCAAAAAATGTGTTTATTCGATTCAAATATATTTTCAAAGAAATGTTAACAAAATCTATGATGAGACTATTATTATTATGAGATGAGACTATTATTAATTCATAATTAATGCATAAAATAAAAATACATTTCCTCATGCGATAACTTATTTTAATAATAAAGAATAGGTGATCTATTTATATGAACAATCGATTCATCGATGGAATGTTCACGTCAGTATTACAAGGATTAATGCGACAATGTTTGTCATGTTGAATAGGACGAGATACTGAATTCGGAGAACGATCTTGGGTCAGATGTGATGCGCACCAAGAGAATCGGATCTCTGTCAATCGTGAATAATTTAGACGTGCTGAGGCAGAGAGTTCTGCTAGAGCTGGCTCGCAGAAAGGCATTACAAGATCAACGTCAGGTTGAAGAGAACCGCCGTTTCCTCGAGAGTGTCGGCAAGAGATCGGTATCGAACGCCGATAGAATTGTGAGATCTAGCATGAAGAATAACGGACGATCTGCAGCATCCGACAGGAACGAATGGACTGAAGAGAACAATCCCTTGTTTCACGAATCGCAAGATGATCGAACGGTAAAAAAATACATTTTCTTTTATCTTATGCGGGCTTTCTAGAATAAACTATTATTTATTTAAGTCTTAAGTCTTAAAAAATTGACCAAATCACAGAGAGAATGTGAGAAGAATAATCAAGTGAGAGAGATGTGAGAAGAATAATCGATTATCGTTGGTCAATTTCTTATCTTAAGTAATAACTTATTGTAGAAAGCCTGTAAGAGATTTATTTCAGTAATATAAATAATTCGTGTTAAATAATTTCGATTCAATTCATTTCGATGCAATTCACTGTTCGTCGTTGCAATCGTAATTTTGAAGAAAATAAACATTTAATTAATCTTACGCGAACTGGAAAGTTTTGTTGCATTAATTGGAATTCTGGTAAATTCAAGTAGAAAGATATAAAGATTAGATAGACACAGTCAAATCTATCAAACATTTTAATTGAGATAATTCGATCGATAATTATAATTCTGATTCATGACTGGAATTCATTTTGCTTGTATTTTTTGTACAACCAGAACGTTTTTCTCAGTACATCAATTTCCACGCTTGACTCTTATTTGCTTTCTTTATTAGCAAATTTGATTGTTAGAAATTTTTACTTATTTAATTAAAATTGTACATTAATATATAATTTTGATTTTTCAGGTACAGGCTAATGAGCTTCGCCTGCTGTAATCGCGCCTTGGCATGCGAAGAAGAATTTGAGAAGGACCGATATATCTTAGCTTTACTATATGCGATTTTTAATCAATCGTCATCCATTAAGTTATTTTGTCGACTGTTTTTCTTCCGCTTGCCTATCCTCGTTTAGCAGATAGTCCGAATTCCACCAGCCGTGGCTGGCAATATGAATGTTAAAAATTGCTGAATTTTCGACAAATGCGGACTTGCTGCTACCTCCCTCCTCTTTCTCTCTCTCTCTCTCTCTCTCTCTCTCTCTCTCTCTCTCTCTCTCT